GGCACTTTTTACTCTAATTATGATTCCCAGACTGATATTGTGGTACAAGGAAGCTAGTGAGTAGGTACATAGTTCCAAATTCGGATTCTACATAGTGAAAAATGTATGTTGACCCTAAGATCTCAGTTGTTATCCTGAAAATTTGCATGCTGGATCAGTTCCTCTAAATCAAATATGTGGTGCAGTTCAATTTATATTACAATGAATCATTCATACAAAAAGTAGATTAGTAAAGTTAATGATATAAAATGGTGAAAACCTTTCGCAAACAAATTTTTAGGATAACAACTGAGACATTACTCTATTTATTGAACAATTTAGTTCATGCCACATTGACTGATAAACTCCTACAACAAAAAATTCTCAAATTACCATATTAGTAATAAACGCACTCTCTTAAATTTTCAAAAAATTCAACCTTAGCGAAACTGGGTCTCATGGTCAGAAAGTGATGTTCTAACCATCTGGCCATACACCCATATAGACAAATTGTATATATACATACACACAAAAGATGTAACAATTTAATTCCCTGAATGACTGTAGCACGTTACTAAGTCAGTCAAACATTTGTACCTGAGTATGTCAGGACATGTTCAGACTACCATGTTAAAACACAGATCAGAAAAGTTATTTGTTGCAAAAAAATCAGATAAGATGTTGTTGAGCATTAGAGGAAGTTGTATGTGCTCATTTTAGAGCATTGGTGGAGAATAAGTGAACGAAATCTAGAGTAGTAGATAAATATCAAGTTTTGTGTGAAGATTGGTAAAAGTGAAGCATTAACCCCATTAAAAAGGTGGCATAGGTCGTTCAAGAAAGGGTGAGAAGATGTGAATGATGGTGAAAGAAGTAGACAGCCAAAAACACAAAAAAACAGATGCAAATGTGAACTGTGTTGAACCTTGGTGCATTCCGATTGAAGATTAAGTGTGTGGCTTATGTGCTGTGTCCCCTCAGGATACAAGTGATCATGGCTCTTCACAGCTTCCTGTGAATTGTAAGATCTTAATAAACTTTGTCTGTTATTTCTCCTAAATCCTGTTCCACCATCTATTTACTCAAGCTCAGTAAGTTCCGCTGTCCCTCTGTCTTGTGAGGATCAGTTTTTCAAAGCCCTACTGATAGAAGAACTGAATATGAATAGCAAAATGGTGCATCAAATTCTAACAAGATTTGGGAACAAGAAAATGATGTGTGAACTCCTAGCTAAGAAATAAATTACAAAAATCGGCTATCACTCTTATTCAACAGATTTATCATTGTCAAATTTGGCTATTTCCAATATTTAAAAATGCCCTGAAAGGACAAATCTTGCTAACATCCCTGACATCAAGCAACATATGACTACATTATTGAAAGTTATTTCAGGAAACAAGTTCCAAGAATTTTTCCAGCAATGACACCATGGCCTCATGATGAGCACTTCACAAAGGGAGTGACTACATTGAAGGCAACAGCAGCCAATCAGGACCAGATTGGCAAACTTTGCTTTCACAGTACTGATCTGGGAATTAAATTGTTACACTTTGTACACAAAATGTTATTAACCTACTAATGTTGATACAATTTTCAAGATATTCTTACATTTAGATTATAAATATATCATGTGAATTTCAACTTATAATATCTGTTTTTATGAGAAATATTTACAATAATTTATTTGCTTGTCTGAGATATTATTTTGCCATTTGAAGCTTGGTGATCATATTTTAAATAATAATAATTATATATATACAAGTATATGATTGGTGTATATGGAATAAATTCCAATAACCAACAATTACTATTCTTAAAAGAGTGCTCAATACAGAGTAGAGTGAATATAATTATTTATTTAAAAATTATAACATAAATATGTTATAAAATCACTACAAAAATAGCCATTTTGTTTCAACACCTCTGGTGTCTTATCAAGTGATAATGTTGAATGTAGATTGTAGAATAAAGGTGGTTAATTAATTTGAACCTTTTAAAACCTTTATGGTCAGTGAATACGAGTTATCGGTAGACATAATACCGGTGAAATCCAACAAGAACCAAGCAGACAAGCTGATGAGGCTACCATGGAAATGGCTCGATATAGTGAGGAAGGAGACAGAACCAGTGAAACCTTTGTGTGCAGTATCAGTGAGCAAATGCAGCTCTGACAAGATAAGGTCAGTAAATTATCAAAGTGGCATCCTGGCATTAAAAGGACCCTGTACTTCAAAAAGTGGATTGATCCAGCAGTTCCAGGTAGGGCTGTAGTCAGAGAATGTAGAGAGTGTCAGTTCATTAAACATCACCAGTACGATGCCCAAGAGGAAAGTTAGATGTTAATGTGTGGACCTGGTTTGGGATGGACATCACTCATCATGATGGTAAAAATTACCTGACTTTGATTGACTGTGGACCCACTTGATTCACAATCTAGCGACAACTGCATTGATAAGATTCAGTCAGTCTCATCAACCATTTAAAGGCATTATTTTTTGAACAGGGACCTCCTGCTAAACTTCTCACCTACAATGACGTTGCTTTCCGTAGTAAACTATTCAAGCAGTTTTTAGACGGGGAGGGAAACCATATCCATTTCTGCTGTGTGCACATCTCTTCCAGCAATGGGACAGTTGAATGTTGCCACCGAAGCATAAATTGAATTGCTGTGAGGAAACAATATTCAGTGATGGAAGCCATATATTGGTACAACATTACGCCAAAACATGTGTCATCTTCCACCACACCCACCAATGGGATTTACTATTAAAGAATCCAGGCACAAGGTATTCATAAAACACCTCCACAAAGCAAGAACCTGGCCAATTGACATATGGGTTAGGAGACTGTATGTGGGTAAAACCCTCTCAACACTAATGTCAAATGGGATGTGTCACAGGGATTAGAAGTCCATGTGCGATTTGTGTTGAGGGGATGCCATGTGATGTGAGAGATCAGTGCTCCTTTGTCAGTTCAAACACATCAACAAGTAATGTCAGCAACAAGTAATGTCAGCAACAAGTCTTCTAATGATGAGGAACTGGTCAAAATAAGAGATGCCTTGAGTATGTCCTCAGAAGAAAACTATGCTCAGCCTATACATCTGATGTCCAATTCATCAGGTGAGGAGATGGTAGTTGTTCCTTTGAGAAGAAGCACAAGACTTAAGAGACCCACACCTGGTTGTCAGCAGTGTGATCATAAGTTTAGTGGGGAGTGTGGCAAAAAGAAAGTGTTGTAATGGAATGTCCCACACTCCCTATCGCATATGTGGACTGACTATATCAGTAGATATATATAGTAAGCATAGGATATACCTGGTGGACTTTGCTTTGGGAATTACTAGTCTGCTAACTGATTTCCTGTCTTTCAGTAGTGTATTCTTTTACAATAAACCTCTCTTTCTTTCATCTACGCCTGTGTTGCTGTTCCTTTCACTCGAGTACCACCTTTGTCTGTTTGTAATCTTCTTTAAGGATACAACAGAAAGTCACTTACCGAAAAAAAAGGGCATATGTGTTCTGTATGATATGCTGAAGACAAAATAATCAAAATAGAAACAAGTCAGTCACAAGTGTTGCCATAAATGCATCTTGGACATGCTAATATTCTGTATCCTCACCCACCTGTCAACCAATGAAAAAATTGTTTTAATAAAAGCAGTTGGTATTCTCGAATTGGGAAGTTGTTTATTTTTTTACTTTGTCTGTCGGCTTGTGTGGTGGATTTCTGACCGTTTATGTGTATTGGGATTTGTGACATTGGACCTGAGATTCGTTATTTTGACATTTCTTTCTGTCGCCTAGATCTTCGAGTTTGAACTTGTGATTTGTTTATTTCATTGTGGAATTGTGCTGCCATATGAATTTTTGAGCAGTGCCTGACTCATTTCTCTTGTGGAAACATTGATTTGTATAATAAATTTGAGGCACAAAAGTTTGTGAGTGCTGAAAAGTTCTCAGCCTGACTAAGAAAGGATTCCTACCACCATACTGATGCTTGGTCAGATGTTTGAAAAAAAACTTTCGAGTACCTTCATGCATATAATTCTATTTAAGTTGACTAAATGGTGATAGAATAATGAGATGAGTATTGAACTAAGGCAAATGATAATGTGACACTTCAAAAAAAAAAAAAAAAAAAAAAAAAAAAAATGAAAAAAAAGGTGTGTGTAGGAGGGTGCTGGCATTCAAACATTTCACATCTACCTGTTTAGTGTAGCTACTGGCAATTGATTTGTTGTAGGTCTCATTTTGTTGTTTTTGTAATCAGCTTTTGATTCCTATCAATACATCACTTGAAAGGCAATGCAGGATTGCAAATGAAGTACTGAAATCAGGTTAGCCTATTTAGAGAATATACGGCCCAAGTGAACATCATGAAAGCGATAGCGAGATGCTTTGTCCCTTGTTAAAATCTGACAGAATTCTTTTTCAATTTTGCTTTTCATTATTCCTTTTTTTTTTTTTTTTCCTTCCTTTCATCTTTTAGTTCATTTGTTTTGTTTTTTTTAGTTTTTTTTTTATTCCTATTAATTTTCAGTATTTTCTTTTATTCCTTTAAACTTCCAATGATTACATTGTGTTATTTGTTTTATTTTTCCTTCTATACATTTCCTTCAATCTTCTAAACTTTCCCCTTTTTTTAAAACTTATCTATCAATCTTCCTCCTCTTTTCTTCATTTCCTTTTTTGTCTTTTCTGAACCTTCTTTTTTCTCTTTGCTCTTAATATTTTCTAAATTCTTCCCTTAATTCCCTTCAATTCCAATTCCACCAGATTCCTTCAAACCAGCATTTCTTACCTACTTTTGTCTAGTTTTCCTCTACTTTCTTTATTCTTACACAATGCTCAAGAAGATTTCCAAACTTGTGTTATACAAATCAGTTAATCCAGTCAGAAAGTGTATTTCTATTGATAAATCACTAATCCATTACAGATCAGAAATGAGGAATGAAATGATTCAATGCATATTTTTGCTACCTGCTTTATGCATATCATATTTCATAAGAGAAATATTGCTTATGGCCACATCATCGTGAAACACTGGTTCCCATGAGATCAACAAAGTTAAGAAATGTTGAGTCTGGTCAGTACCTAGATGAGTGACTGTTTAGGAATACCAGGTAATGTAAGCTTGGATAGGCAATAGTGTAATGGATAATAGCTCAGAATTGTTAATCAAAGAGCTGAGTTCCAATTCCCATTGGGTTCGTTACTTTCACTTATGCATAAATACCCTTGGGAAGAGTATGAATCCACCTCTTCTCCCCCCAGATATGAGTTAATTAGTAAGACTTGTATCACTAAACAATTATTATCTTAAAAAAATATTCTTACAATCTAAAAATATCTTCTGGCTTTAAATAAAGTCCAAAGGATTGATAAGCTGTAAAAAACAAATCAATCAATAATCGAAATACCATTTATACTTTGAAAGAAAATACATTTGCAGGTTTAATGAAAGTAAACACAATTCAAAACAGTCTAACTCATTTTTATAAATAATAAAAAACCCAGCAATTACAATATTGTTAAATAAACAGAGATTAATTAGATTAAATTTCAATAAGATTCCTTGGATTCACTCTTCTAACACTTCTTTGTATTTTTACTATCTTTTATAGTTTTCTATTGTTAATTTGAAATGACTGTCTTTCTAAAATTTCAATATCTTGTTTTTTTATTTATAGCATTGATAGCTGATTAGACAATGCTACACAATTTGCAAAGATATTGTTCCATTTTCCCTACACCTTGACCTTCCTTTACACTGATACAGATTAACACTACCATTGTCAACTGGATCCCTTTTAGAAAGAAATAGAATGATTTAATGCAGATAAAATAATATAACTATCTTACAAAAGAGAGGACTAGTAACATTAGTGTCCATCATATTAGTCAAGAATTTACAGGAATTTTGAAAGCTCTCATGTACAAAATGGTAAGTGTCTTATTCAACAAATTTAAAGTTGAAAATCAAATAATAATAATAAATTGAGTGAGTTTTTGGGACCATTCAACCCACGTAGTCATGCAGATATGAAAACAAATAATCATCAGCTTATTACACATAAAAAGATAGACGGATAAATGTTTATATGAAAAGAGAGAGAAGGTTATCAATGTAAGAACCAGAGACAAATATGAGCTCATGATCTTGTCACCAAAATTTAATGAGTCTTCATAAAAAAAAAAAAAAAATTATTTAATGTGTCCCATTTTCTTTGGCAATCAGAAAAGAAATGTTTACTGCCCAAAAACAGTTAACAGAGAAAACATTTTGAAATTAGGTTGCATCTGGTGAACAGATGTACAAGCAAAGAAAGTTTCTCAAAGACTATTTATTCCCTCTTCCAGAGCCCAAAATTTCATGGTGCCAAGCAAGAGACATTAAAACCATTCTTATTTTTTGTTCTTGAAATACTTCCTTGCAAGAAGGCTAGACAATGAGTTTTGTCAGGAAAATTACTGAATTTTTCCTTGATCCCCCCGAAACTGAAAAACTAATGAATCAGTTAAAATATCTGAAAAAAAAACAAATAAATAAATGTAGGTATAGATCGGGGTGGGAAGACATTTTTCCTGGAGAGTTGCATCATGTGTAAAGTAGGCCACATCAAAATAACATAATACTGACAATATAAGTAACAATCATATATAAGCATGTTATTTGTATATTTATTTGCTTATTAAATGCATTTTGTGAACAGATGCACAAATGGATAAGAAATTAGTTTAATATTTAATACAAATTTTTAATATTGAAGAGATTTGCAAGTTGTGACAATTCTTTAAAAATAAGAAATTCTCAATAAGTCCTGAAGTTCAGAAATAATGTAATGTGTTTACCTTTAATTGTAGTACACACAGGCACCTAGCTTCCTGTGTCAGTTTACACTGTGTTGACAATTGGGCATTAACATTGACACAGTGTAGGACACAGCAATCCAAGTGCTCTCATAGTAGTACATTATGTTATATGTTGATTTTGTGTGAAGTGAGACCTGGAGTTTGCTATTAAAATATTTAAGCTATTGTCTTAGTTTTCAGTTACATTCCCACTGACATTATGTGGATTCCCGCTGTCTCTTCTATAAATATTTTCATGACAATTGTTTTGATGAGCTGTTCTAATTAGGGTCTCATCTGCACAAATTCATGCATGCTACAAGATTGGCAACTAGGTCTCACTGTTTTATTATTAAACTAACTAGATGTAACCACTGTTATGGTATTTGTTAGTAGAAATAGCAGTAAAGAACGAGAGAATGACAAGACATGTTAAACTTACAAGGGAGGAAACGCTCTGTCCTGAAAACAAAGCGACCTCTTTTATTCAAGGAAGTAACTGGCTATCCAGGGAAGGTAACTCATGTCATGACAACCACCAGCTCTATTCTAATAGTTTCTTTTGTCTTACTTCTCGCCTGTTGAACTTCCAATTTCTTCCTTCCATGCCACTTATAGTCTTCAAAAATATAAGTGCAATGTCAATCCTCATCTTTTGTCTTTCTAAATCCTGTTCCTTTATTGTCATTTTATTTACTAAACTTGCTGTAACCTTCTGTGTCTTAGTGGCATTATTGCCTTGCTTGGTGGGAAAAGGCTTCAAAAGCAAATTTTCTTGTTTTGAATAGATTATTATTTTGTGCAACATGTAACCAAACAAATTTCAAATTTTTTTTTTAATGGAAGTTTTAAAATAATATTTTTTGCACTCTTTCTGGCAACATAAAAGCATTAGGTAGGCCAAATACAGTCTGCAGGCTGCAATTTACCCACCCCTGGTATAGACAGTTTAGGGTCAAGTAAAATTTGTTACAGCTTGGCTGAGAATTTTCACCAGATATTGTACTTTCAGATTGTCAGTTATTCTGGTCTTTAGAAAATTATATTGATTAAAAAAATAAACGCATCAATAAAATTCTCTGGGAGATTGCAAAAGTCATCTAGAGCAGTTGACAAGTAGACAAAAAAATCTTAAGCTTGAATTAATTTCTCTTTAAATGTAAAAAAAAAAAAAAAAAAAAAAAATTCCTCAACTCACCTAATGAAAGCATTAATAATAAGTGAAAATAATTTATCAATTATTTTATAATATATATATATATATATATATATATATATATATATATATATATATATATATATATACATACATACATTGTTTTTCTCAATTTTGTCCCTTACTTTTGGACGTTCCAAATTTGAAAATAAATAAATAATTGTTATAATTCTTTTCTATCCTTTGCAAAGGATTCAAATTTTAGTATGTTATTATGGATGATAACGACGACCAGTTGTCAAAATTTCAGCTTTTTACAGTTGTTATTTCTAATAAATATTAGGTTTTAAAATTTTGTCCCTTAGTTTTGGACGCTATTATATATATATATATATATATTATAAATAAATTGATTTAAAATATGGTTTTTCCGCTACGATGATTCTAACCATGCTTCAAAATGGAAGGTCCGAATTTAATTTTGGAATTAAATTAAAGGCATTAGTTCCATTTTAACCTCAAGCGAATTAAAAAAAAAAAAAAAAATTCTCTTGAGGATGAAATGGAACTAATGTCTTTAATTTAATTACAACATTAAATTTGGACCTTCCAATATTGAAACAGGGTTAGAATTGTGTAGCGGAAAAATCATATTTTTAAATCAATTTATTTATAATATTAATGCTCTGTAAATTGAGCACTATTTTGTAAAATAAAAATATCTATAAGAACACGGATTATATATCTTACTGTTCTTTCTTATATATATATATATATATATATATATATATATATATATATATATATATATATATAGTAGTTAATCAAGTTAAATTTAGTATCCAAAAACGGCTTTTTAATTTAATAAAAAAAAAAAAAAGTTAAAGAATTGTTTCTAGTTTTGAAATTGATTTTTATGACCACTAGTGCAGTTGTGCTGTTACACTCTGTTACACACTAATGATAAACAAATTTCTAATCTGGAGGCAAATTTACAGTCTGAAAATGTTTTGCTTGCTATTAGTTTTAGTTCTCATCAAAAACAAAACAATTCTTACACATTTGTTTTAAAACTTTGCATAAAACTCTCACTATTCTCACTCAGAATTAGCATAAATGCTCATTGGCTATGAGGAAAAATCAAGCTTGTATGCATATGATCATTTTTTCACAGTTAAATTACTTCTCCTTTTTTTGTCTCAGGTAAGGGTAGTATTAGCTGTTCCTTTATAAGGAAACATTCAGTATTCATTGACCAAGCAATCAGTGCTAACTTCAATTGAAATTTATAAAATCTTTCTGTTCAAACAATTTTTCAGGAAAATAGGTTTCTCAAGTTCAGTTACTGCTATTGCTCTTTCCAGTATTGAGGAGGGTGTGTTTCTTTCATAACTTTTTGTTTGAAGTAGCACGGAATGTCGACATCTAGATTATGTCATTATTTTCTCTTTGAATTACATGTGCTATCCATCTTAGTTGTTGAAGTTTTTCTTTATGATTCTGTAGTGTCATCTACGAACTTTGAAGAAAGATGGTCCTTGCTAAGATCTACAGACTTCATTTGCTCAAAACTGATTTAATGAGTCATAATCTACAGGTTCCAATTTATATGATTAATCTAAGTTAGCTACAAATAGATGAAAAAAAAAAAGATTTTCTTTTTTTTAATTGAGTTTTAACTGACCCTACTATACTGTGCAGTTGACAAAATAAAAAACAAAGCACATGCATGAAATTAGAAATATAAAATGGTGACAATTTACCCATCACATCCTGTATTTCAGTGTACAGGAAACTTCAGCTTATTATGGGTTTCTAACATTTTCCATATTAGAGACAGCATAACACTACATATTGGTCATCAGTCACCAAATATGACATGGGAGTGGTTATCACCCAGTCACTGTATGTTGGACATCAATTTTGGCTGATAATCACAATACCCAGTATTCTATTATAGTGCTAAGCTTCCTTGAGGTTGTTTACCTACTGGGAGGAACTATTCACCCTAACAGGTCATGGCTTTGTTTTGGGGTGGTGAATCCAGTGATGTTTTGTTCCCAGAAACTTCCTTAGTTTGAATAACTTTCTTGAAAGGCAGGAATTATCAAGCTGAAAGGACAA